AGCTTGGTGATCACTACCGCGAATTTTAATGCAAGTAGTCGCCTGAACTTGCAGTATAATCTCAATGAAAATGGTTTAGGACAAACATAAGACTAAGGTGAAGTATCCCTGAAAATACTTATTTTGTGAAAACAAAATTGAAGTATTTGTGTGACTCGTCTGTGGTGCCCGCATCTAAACATTTGGAAGTCTAAAGAATGATTAAGATGAAGAACAATGAAAACCAAATATTCAATAAAGATGAGCATAGGAGCAGAACATTTTTTTTAACGATAAATGTACAGTTGTATAATATGTTTACTTTCATCGTTACTTTTCCTAATGATAAGAATCATCACATAACTGAACCATGTCGAACTAAACTATGACACTTCTTAACCAAACCATGACCCTGAATTGTCAGTAATCTGTAATTATGTGCAAAAGAAGCTATTTTTTTCGGAAAAATTGACGGCAATTGTATATTGTAACGAAATATGTGATGTAGCAGACAATAAATAAATCTTTTTTTATGGTTGGCAAACGAGTAAGCAACTTTTTAAATGTTGACATACGCAAGCATTATTCTGTGTCTAATAAGGAAAAATATGGTACAGATTTGAATTTACTAACATATCAGCTATAAACAAAGATATTTACCAGCTTGATTTCATGTTAAGACGTTCCTTTAGCAAAAAATCAGATGTTTACATTGTGTCATCAAAAACACTTAACGCAATCATGTCCAACTTAACCAAACTATGACAAAATTACAGTACTGTACTAAACGCTCCTCGATATGACGACCTTACTACCCGTGACACTGATCCTAAAAATGAGTCTAGTTTCTTTCCAAGCTAAGTTTGGTAAAATCTACATATAGTTCTATAGTACATACAGCATGAAAAAGATCGGAGAACGCCTTGGCAACAACTTTCAATAGGAGATACTTTTGTATTGCAGGATACATTCCTGCAATTTAGCCTATATCTGTTTTATTACCGGACAGGTATTTAAATTATATTCAAGACATGAAGACTAAGTAACACAAGAGTGCACACGCTAAAATGTCTCGCCTGATTTACTGATCCATTGATTTTATGTTGATAGTCCTAAATATAAAGCTTTACTACAAGTATCACATAAACTTATCATGATCCAAGAAAATGAGGTCAAGGTCAGATAAACCAAACCGGAAATACATGTACACCTTACAATAATTCCATACACAAAATATAGTTGACCTATTACTTATAGTTTCTAAGAAACAAACTTAACCATGAAAATTTAACATTGACCAATGAACCATGAAAATAAGGTCAACGTCAGATGAACCATGCCAGACAGACATGTACACCTTACAATCAATCTATGCATTAAATATAGTTGACCTATTGCTTATAGTATCTAAGAAACAAACTTAACCAGGAAAATTTAACATTGACCAATGAACCATGAACATGAGGTCAACATCAGATGAACCATGCCAGACAGACATGTACACCTTACAATCAATCTATGCATTAAATATAGTTGACTTATTGCTTATAGTATCTAAGAAACAAACTTTCAATTTCTATACGGAAACTCCATACTAAAATTTACGACAAAAGAGACGATTTTTCATCACTATATTGTTAATTTTCCTTTCTTAGATGGCGATGTTCCTTTGGCTCCATCATATATCCCAACTTGTTCGTTATGCCCGTGTGTGTAGTGATGTCATAGATTTTAACGAACGCATCACTGGTAAATTATTAAGTTAGGGATTTCGTTACCATAAATTACATAAAACATTTACTAAATTCTTTCATAGATATACAAAGATTTGATATGTAAATTTGGCTGTACCTGTAGAAAACTTATTAAAAAACGGTATTTCACATCCTAAATTTTACGGAAATCACTTTGTCATCCGTGTAAACTCATCAAACATTTAAACAAACTTATTAGTAAAGGTTATCTTATTAATGTTGCACCGGTAATAAGATCTTTGAATATTGTTTGAATTGGCACTAACATCGATTTTGTCATCAACTAATCAAAACATAACTAAATTTGTATTCTTTTCAAAGTTTTATTTGGGGGGCTGTATAAATAAACATCAACGTTTATTTTCTATTTAGAGATTGCTTTATCTATATATAACATGATACATATTTATTATAAGGTTAAATCCTATATATCCTACTGCCTGTCGTTACTTTTATTTTGGCATTGCACAAGTCATGTCTTCTTTGACTGTCCATGGCGTTAAACACTAAATCCCTGGGATTTGTTTTAATTGATTTTAGTCTCTGATGCATGATTTTTTATTATTAATTGTTTTTGGCTTTTAACTAGCTTTCAGTAACTGAGAGTACTCTCAAATCGCACTTTCATGTTAATTTGATCTGTTGACACAATTTGTAATGTATTTTTGTTATTCAATGATTACTTATTTGGTGTTATATCTCGTCTCACCATTTTTAATATGTACCACCTTTGATAAGTATTTAGTATGACGATAAATTTTCACTTCTGTACTCGTACAGTGAACAACAAATTTATTTATTTTGAAAAAATATTTCCATACTCCTAACAACAAAATTATCATATTTAAATTTACATGTGTACATTATTTTATTGTCTTTTTGACATTGTTCTACAACTTTTTCATTAATATTGTCTCATAGATCAAACTTATTCGTTCAGTGTAAGTTTACCTGTTTTTGTTTATGTCTTTTTGATCGAGTTAAGCCATTTCAATTGATATTTTATAGTGTGTCTTATGTTGTAATGTTACACTACAGTTTCAGGTTAGGGTGAAGGTTGGCCCCTGTTAAAACGTTTAAACCCGCTGCATTTGTATGCACCTGTCCTTAGTCAGGAGCCTGTTGTTCAGTGGTTGTCGTTTGTTGATGTGGTTCATAAGTGTTTATTGTTTCTCGTTTTTTATATGGATTAGACCGTTGGTTTTCTGGTTTGAATCGTTTTACACTAGTCATCATGGGGCCCTTAATAGCTTGCTGTTCGGTGTGAGCCAAGGTTCCGTGTTAAAGGCCGTACTTTGAACTATAATTGTTTACTTTTAACACATTGTGACTTGGATGGAGAGTAGTCTCATTGGCACTCATACCACATCTTCTTATTCATATTAACCATGAAAATTTAACATTGACCAATGAACCATGAAAATGAGGTCAAGGTCAGATGATACCTGCTCGACAGACATACACCTTAAAACCATTCCATACACCAAATATTGCTTACAGTTTAAGAAAAACAGACCAAAACACAATAAATTGCTTCGCTGAGCGCAGCTGTATACGACCGCAGATGTCCAACCCTGAAAAGCTGGGGCCAAAATGGACACAATATTCATGCTTGATACAGGTCTGAATTTGGATTGTAATTAAATTTTGGACACATAATAGGTTTCTGACACAGAATAACTGTAGTCAAAGAACTTCAAATTGGTTATATGATTTGAATTTATATTCAATTTTTTGCTTTTGTGCAATACACTATGCGAATTGACCCCCCCCCCTCAAAAAAAAAAAAAATTTACCCCTTTTATTTGCATTTGTGCAATACACTATGCTGTTGAATATTAACCCCCCAAACAAAAATATTTGAAGAAATTTTCTTTTAATTTCTGAAATCTGAAATGAGAAAGATTGTCTACCTCCAATTTTTTTCACCTCCCCTCTTTCCCTTATTCCAAAAAATAATTCTTTCCCTCAAGTTATGGTCAGTTTCTCAGACAATCATCATTTCTTAATACATAATTTACAAGCAGTGTAAGGGAGGTAATCAAACATTGTTATTTAAATTGATTTGGATTACCTCCCTTACACTGCTTTTAAATTGTCTCAATTGTCCTTTAAACAGAAAAACCATTGTTTTTCCCCTTTTTTTGCCCCTAATTCCTAAATGGTTTGAGCCATAACCCCACAAAGTCAATCCTAACCATCCCTTTGTAGTATGGAAACTTGTGGTATAATTTCAGAGAGATTCATACACTTTTAAAACAAGTTATTGTCTGGAAACTACAAAAATGCTTATTTGGCCCCTTATTCCTAAACAGTTGGGACCATAACCCCCAAAATCAATCCCAACCTTCCTTTAGTGGTTATAAACCTTGTGTGAAAGTTTTATTGATTTCTATTTACTTATATTAAAGTTATTATCCGGAAACCATCTGTCTTCAGACGACACTGAAGACGACAAGGTGATACCAATATACGACGAAATTTTTTTTAATTTTTGCGGTCGTATAAAAACTTAACACTGAACAATGAATTGTGAAAATGAGGCCAAGGTCAAATACAACCTGCAAAAACTGACATGTACATCTTAAAATATTTCCATACACCAAATATAGTTGACCTATTGCAAATAGTATTAGAAAAAAAGACCAAAACACAAAAACTTAACTTAAACCACTGAACCATGAAAATGAGGTCAAGGTCAGATGACACCTGCCAGTTGGACATGTACAACTTACAATCATACACCAAATATAGTAGACCTATTGCTAATAGTATCTGATATATGGACTTGACCACGAAAAACTGTTTATGAAATGAGGTCGAGGTCAGATGGAAACTGTCTGACAGGCCTGAGGACCTTGCAAGAAATTAACATTACAAAAAATCTTAACCTTTTTTTTTTCAAGTAGTCACTGAACCATGAAAATGAGGTCAAGGACAATGGACATATGACAGATGGAAACTTCATAACATAAGGCATCTATATACAAAGTATGAAGCATCCAGGTCTTCCACCTTCTTAAATATAAAGCTTTTAAGTAATTAGTTAATGCCGCCACCGCCAGATCACTATCCCTATGTCAAGCTTTCTGAGACTTTTGTCGCAGGCTCGACAAAAATGACAAATGGTCATCATTCTGATTGTTCAAGTTTTGGATATTCATCTGTCATATACATGTATATATTTGGGTCAATACTTGCAAATATGAAAGCTTCCAGACGCTTAGAAGTTACTTTTGCAGGCAATTTTACAAATAACACAAGAAATTACTCTCTTATTTTATTAATTTATTCCTTGACAGCAAATTTTCTGACAGGGTACAGACGTTCCTTGCGCTGTTGTTTAGCTGTCTTTATGGAAAGTTCATAACTGTTGAGGGCTCTCCTCATGGCTCTTGTCTTTTTTGGACGCAAGTCCTTTGGCTTGTGGCGTTTTGTCTTGTAGAACTTCCTCAGATTTTCTTTTTGAGTCTGGTGCATCACTGTTAAGACACGAGCAATTGATTTACGCACCACTCGACTGAAAGAAAACACATACTTATTATAAACTCATCAATAAAATGGTTTCATTACTTTACTATTAGAATTTAAAATAGTTTCTATATACACAGTCTAACTATGTCTGCCTACTTGCAATGGCAAGAGATTATTACCAATCTGAAGAAAAAATCAAAAAAATCATCCACACAAAGGATTAAACATATTATGGCATTTTGAAACATTTACCTGATCATATGCTTAATTCTAATTACACTTTATAACACTCATTCATATAATATATTAACAAACCAAGAGATAAAGTGCTTCCATTAACGTAATACTTATACAGTTTTATAAAGGTTTTGTTTGTCCAAGTTAGTTGTAAAATAAGAATTGATGATATAGCAGATCATTAAAAAATATTTTCAGTGTAAGCGACCATAAGCCTAGACGGTGAGAGGATAAATAAATTGTTATTCAAGTTTTCATTATAAAGCAAAACAGGAGTAAAATGAATGTGTTATCTCTTAACTATTAACCTCTGGTATGATTCAGAGTTTTGTAAATCTAGACTAGACTATCAGAAAAAAGTGAAATAACAAAAATACTGAACTCCAGAAAAAATTCAAAACAAAAAGTCTCTTAATAACAAATGGCAAAATCAAAGCTCAAATGAATGGAAATCACTTGTCATATTCCTGACTTGGTACAGGCATTTCCTTCTGTAGAAAATGGTGGATTAAACCTGGTTATATAGCTTGTTAAACCTCTCACTTGTATGACAGTCGCTTAAAATAAAATTCCCAAAAGAGAACTACTTTTCCAAGAAATTCATTACAAAAGGTAAGTAAACTGAATCAGGCCTATCGATCCAATGTTTTATTATTCAACATTTTTGTTCAGATAGAAACATTTCATCATATACAGTTTATTTTCTCTCTATTCTCAAGATATTTGATAAGGCAACAAAATAAATAATGATAGCATCATGGAAGATTCTGGCCTTCAGTGTGGGATGTTAATAGTTCAATCCTAAACTAAGTCATACTAAAGACTTAAAAGTAAGAACTAGTTTTCACCATTTGAAGATCAGAACATAGTAAATTACTTGAAATGACGAGAGTTGACTATAACTAGTTTCTGACAAATGATCTGTAGGTGTTAGCCACAGATCTTGGCTAGTTTCTGTCCAATTTAAAATAAATGCAGCATTAATCTATAAAGGGCTAAAAAAATGGAAGTAAAGGCAAGAGCTAAGTAAACTGAATCAGGCCTATCGATCCAATGTTTTATTATTCAACATTAATGTTCAGATAGAAACATTTCATCATATACAGTTTATTTTCTCTCTATTCTCAAGATATTTGACAAGGCAACAAAATCAATAATGATAGCATCATGGAAGAATTCTGGCCTTCAGTGTGACTGTTATAAGTTCAATCCTAAACTTAGTCATACTAAAGACTTAAAAGTAGGACTTTCTTTTCACCATTTAAAGATCAGAACATAGTAAATTCCTTGAAATGACTAGTTAACTGTAGCTAGTGTCTGTCTGATTTAAAGAAATGCAGCATTAATCTATAAAGGGCTGAAAAATTGGAAGTATTAGTAAAGGCAAGAGCTTAGTAAACTGAATCAGGCCTATCGATCCAATGTTTTAGTATTCAACATTTTTGTTCAGATAGAAACATTTCATCATATACAGTTTATTTTCTCTCTTTTCTCAAGATATTTGATAAGGCAACAAAAAAATGATAGCATCATGGAAGAATTCTGGCCTTCAGTATGGGATGTTATAAGTTCAATCCTAAACTTAGTCATACTAAAGACTTAGTAGGAATTAGTTTTCACCATTTGAAGATCAGAACATAGTAAATGCCTTGAAATGACGAGTTAACTGTAACTAGTTTCTGACAGAAATATACTGTTGGTGTTAGCCACAGATCTTGGCTAGTTTCTGTCTAATTTAAAATAAACTGCTTCGCTAAGCGCAGCTGGATACACCCGCAGAGGTCCAACCCTGAACAGTTGGGGCAAAAATGGAAACAATATTCATGCTTGACACAGGTCTGAATTTGGATTGTAATTAAATATTTGACATATTATAGGTTTCTGAATAAATGTAGTCAAAGAACTTGAAATTGGTTATATGAATTCAATTTATATTCAATTAAAGATTTCTTGCTGTTGTGCAATGCACTGTGCTGTTGCGCAATGCTTAGTTCTGTTGTCAGACTATAAACAAATAAAATCTTTTAACTCGGAAACCTAAATTCGAAAATTTATAAAAATCAAAAGGGAGCTTACAAAAATAGATATAAACAATTTACCAAAGTTTTCGTAAAAAATGCTGAAAGCAGTTTTGAGTTATTGTCCAAAAACTGGAAAATCCCCCTTTTTGTAATGAATAAAACCCCATAAATCGGAAACGTAGTCTAAAATTTATAAAAATCAAAAGGGAGCTCATGTCGATAGAAATAAACAATTCATCAAAGTTTCTTGCAAATTGGTGATATTGTTATTGAGTTATTGTCTGAAAACTGGAAAATCCCCCCTTTCATAATGAATACAACCCAAAACTCGAAAACAGTAAAACCGAAATTTATAAAAAACGAAAAGGAGCTCACAACAATAGATATAAACAATTCACAAAATTTTCATGCAAATTGGTGAAATTGTTTTTGAGTTATTGTCCGAAAAGTGGAAAATCCCCCCTTTTTTAATGAATAAAACCCCAAAACTCAGAAACAGTAAATACGAAATTTATAAAAAACGAAACGGAGCTCACGTCAATAGATATAAACAATTCACCAAAGTTTCATGCATATTGGTTGAAGAGTTTTTGAATTAATGTCCGACATGTTGACGACGGACGGTCAACGGTATACCATAATACGTGCCGTAAACGGGCGTATAAAAAAATGCAGGATCCATTTATAATGAGCTAAAATAAATGGAAGTACAGGCAAGAGCAAAGTAAACTGAATCAGGCCTATCGATCCAATGTTTTATTATTCAACATATTTGTTCAGATAGAAACATTTCATCATATACAATTTATTTTCTATCTTTTCTCACGATATTTGATAAGGCAACAAAATAATGATAGCATCATGGAAGAATTCTGGCCTTCAGTATGGGATGTTATAAGTTCAATCCTAAACTTAGTCATACTAAAGACTTAGTAGGAATTAGTTTTCACCATTTGAAGATCAGAACATAGTAAATGCCTTGAAATGACGAGTTGACTATAACTAGTTTCTGACAGAAATATACTGTTGGTGTTAGCCACAGATCTTGGCTAGTTTCCATCTAATTTTAAAAAAATGCAGCATCCAATAATAAAGGGCTAAAAAAATGGAAGTACAGGCAAGAGCAAAGTAAACTGAATCAGGCCTATCGATCCAATGTTTTATTATTCAACATATTTGTTCAGATAGAAACATTTCATCATATACAGTTTATTTTCTCTCTTTTCTCAAGATATTTGGTAAGGCAATGAAATAATGATAGCATCATGGAAGAATTCTGGCCTTCAGTATGGGATGTTATAAGTTCAATCCTTAACTAAGTCATACTAAAGACTTAAAAGTAGGACTTTCTTTTCACCATTTAAAGATCAGAACATAGTAAATTCCTTGAAATGACTAGTTAACTGTAGCTAGTGTCTGTCTGATTTAAAGAAATGCAGCATTAATCTATAAAGGGCTGAAAAATTGGAAGTATTAGTAAAGGCAACAGCTAATTAAACTGAATCAGGCCTATCGATCCAATGTTTTTATATTCAACATTTTTGTTCAGATAGAAACATTTCATCATATACAGTTTATTTTCTCTCTTTTCTCTAATAATGATAGCATCATGGAAGAATTCTGGCCTTCAGTGTTGGATGTTATAAGTTCAATCCTAGACTACTGGGTAAGTCATACAAGAGACTTGAAAGTAGGAATTTCTTTTCACCATTTAAAGATCAGAATATAGTAAATTCCTTGAAATGACTAGTTAACTGTAGATAGTGTCTGTCTTATTTAAAGAAATGCAGCATTAATCTATAAAGGGCTAAAAAAATTGGAAGTAAAGGCAAAAGGTAAGTAAACTGAATCAGGCCTATCGATCCAATGTTTTATTATTCAACATTTTTGTTCAGATAGAAACATTTCATCATATACAGTTTATTTTCTCTCTTTTCTCAAGATATTTGGTAAGGCAATGAAATAATGATAGCATCATGGAAGAATTCTGGCCTTCAGTATGGGATGTTATAAGTTCAATCCTAAACCAAGTCATACTAAAGACTTAAAAGTAGGACTTTCTTTTCACCATTTAAAGATCAGAACATAGTAAATTCCTTGAAATGACTAGTTAACTGTAGCTAGTGTCTGTCTGATTTAAAGAAATGCAGCATTAATCTATAAAGGGCTGAAAAATTGGAAGTATTAGTAAAGGCAACAGCTAAGTAAACTGAATCAGGCCTATCGATCCAATGTTTTTATATTCAACATTTTTGTTCAGATAGAAACATTTCATCATATACAGTTTATTTTCTCTCTTTTCTCTAATAATGATAGCATCATGGAAGAATTCTGGCCTTCAGTGTTGGATGTTATAAGTTCAATCCTAGACTACTGGGTAAGTCATACAAGAGACTTGAAAGTAGGAATTTCTTTTCACCATTTAAAGATCAGAATATAGTAAATTCCTTTAAATGACTAGTTAACTGTAGATAGTGTCTGTCTTATTTAAAGAAATGCAGCATTAATCTATAAAGGGCTAAAAAAATTGGAAGTAAAGGCAAAAGGTAAGTAAACTGAATCAGGCCTATCGATCCAATGTTTTATTATTCAACATTTTTGTTCAGATAGAAACATTTCATCATATACAGTTTATTTTCTCTCTATTCTCAAGATATTTGATAAGGCAACAAAATCAATAATGATAGCATCATGGAAGAATTCTGGCCTTCAGTGTGACTGTTATAAGTTCAATCCTAAACTAAGTCATACAAAAGACTTAAAAGTAGGACTTTCTTTTCACCATTTA